GCGCGCAGGCTTGCGCGCAGAGCGGCCCGTTAGTTTGGCGCGACCGACGCGGCCGCGGTGGCGCTGACCGCTGGGCATTTGCGAACGTGCCTCGCAAGCCGCGATGACGCGTGGGCACGTCAGTGCGAGTCGGCGACTCGAACGGGAGCGGTATCGTGGCGACGTCGACAAAGGCACGCGCGATGATGATCGTAGCGATGCTTGTGACGGCGATGGTGATGACAACGGCAAGGCCAATGACGGCGCCGATACTGATCGCGGCGAAGACGCGCACGCGTACGCTTCGTCACATTTTTTTTGGCATCGAGTTCTTGGACTGATGATTTTGGATGAACGAGTGCGCGCGTATGTTTTTGGCACGATATGGTGGGGCGGAAAGGGGGGATCGAACCCGGCTTTGCTGGGGTAGTGGGAGTTCGTATTTCGAACGAACGATGGGGCAAAACCGAAACTGCACATCCGTAAAGGTGTACCAATGCTCTTGGCTTCGGGGTGATGATGGGACCGAATTACTTCTAAAACAAATCTTGGCAGTGGCGGCGACGAAGCGGCACGGAACCGCCAAACCGCCACCCAAACCCAGACGACGGGCGGCGACGGGGCGGCGACGGCGAGCACGGACGGAACCGTCAGACCGACATCCAGGCCCACACGACGGGACGGGCGGCGAAGAGGCGGCGACGGCGAGCACGGATTCCCCAGACAGACACTCAGGCCTACTTCTTTAAAACACATGTGCGAATCCTAAGTGCAAGCGCTGCTAGGGGAATAAGGAATTGTAAGTGCAAGCGCTGTTTGGGAAATTATGAAACCATCACTACCAGCATTACCTGCATGCCACGCACCCCTTTCCCGAAGCCGCGGTCCTTGTAACACGTAACACCAGGGAAAACCCCAGTAGATGGTTTTGAAAATTCGTGATATGGATATTGATACCAGCTGTGATAACGATCGTGAGATATCTCGCGGTGTCGATAGGTAGGACGATAACAAAGTCGATCGTGAGACCGATAGTGAAGCCGATTTAGTAAAATCGATAATGAAACCGGTGCGATCTAATACATATATCTATATATATGTATATATATACATATATATATATGTATAGTGGTACCGATTGTGAGATCGATTGTGAGCTCGCCCGGGAACCTGGAACCTGGAACATGGAACCCGGGAGCCCGGCCGCCTACAGAATTCGGCAGCCCAATTTCGCCAAATCCTTCAAGATCCGCTAGGACGCCTCCAGTGCAAGCGCTGATTGGGGAACAATGGATCCGCGTCCCGAGCTTCCAAGCCGGGCCATGCAGGCAACCCAGGATGCCAAAATGGCCCAAGACGCTCCGAAGACTGCCCAAGATGACCCCAAGGCGGCCCAATATGGCCCCAAGACGGCCCAAGATGCCTCCCAGAGGGCCCCAGAAGGGCCACATAAGGACCTCCAACAAGGCCCGAAGAAACCTAAATTAGTACCCCCGTTCGTTTTGGAAATGAGTTTTGCATTCTCGTTTTTTCGGGCTTCCGTCGAAGAAGCTTACATCATGGCCCCAAGACAGCTCAAGAGGCCCCCCAAGGGGGTCCCAAGAGGACCCACGATGGCCCCAGAGGCATCAAAGACTGCCCCACTACGGCCCACGAAGGCCTCCCGTTGGACCCACGACTGCCTTAGAAAGCCTTTTCGACTGCCTAAGACGGCCCACGACGGCCCCTAGACAGCCACCATACGGCCAAGAGGGACCCAACAGTGCCACAGAAAGCCCCAAGACGGCTTACGTGGGCCCCAAAGGACCCCGAAGACTGCCCCACAGGAGGTCAAGACAGCCCAAGACGGCCCAAACACGTTCCGTGAGAGCTCCCCGAATAGTGAAGACGAACTGTGTCACATGACGGCCTTCCTCTTCCTCCTCCTCCTCCTCCTCCTCCTCCTGCTCCTGCTCCTCCTCCTCCTTCTCCTCCTCATCATCGCCACGACCACCATCCGCATCCTCATCCTCATCCTCATCTTCATTCACCTCCCCATCATCAAGAGCAACATCAATATCACTACCACCATCATTACCACCACCACCACCACCACCATCATCATCATCATCATCATCATCATCATCATCATCATCATCATCATCATCATCATCATCATCATCATCATCATCATCATCATCATCTTCATCATCATCATCATCATCATCATCATCACCACAATCAACATCATCTTCACGGCTCCCGCGCCTGCGATCAATCGCCACTCTGGGCTGGCACGGTGGCGGGCCTTGCCGCAAGCAGTTGGACATTTCAATTCCAACTCCGCTCGTTCTTGGTCGAATCATCCTTGATTGTTCCTGGTTCCAGAGAGGTTACATAATGCCATGCGCATCATCATTTGAAGTGGAAGGATATAAAGCCCTCGAAGCCTCCTTTTCCTTCCTCCTTCCTCCCCTCCTTCCTCTCTCCATCCCTCCCCCGTCCCCCTCCCTCCCTGCTGCAGAGGGGGGGGGGAAGATGACAGGACGATCCGCCCGCACCTCAAAAGCCCCAACAAACCCTCCAAACGGTCCAGATAGGCACCCAAGGCGGTCATCGATGGGGCCAGGCGGCCCGAGAGCACCCTCAGACGGCTCAAGAGAGGCCCAGGGTGGTCAAATATAGCCCCACGAGCCCCCCCCCCCCCACATAAAAGCCCAAATGGCCAAAGCCTCCAAAGATCAAGATGACCGTAATGGGACACTCCCCAACATTCCCCCAATTGTTGCCCAAACCGCTGTCCGTTAGCATGTCCGCACCGTCGCTGGACATTTAACCACGCAGCCGTTTCCAGAACGCATGGGTCGGCGTTGATTCGCCGTATGCGTCTTCGATACGTGTGCTGAATGATTTCTGAACGGCTCCCGTGCTTCAGGCTCCACAATCGTAAGCTGTTGCCTGGATTGCCGTCCTGATGCCCAACTCTGGAAGAATCTGCGGATGGAGGTGGGCCCACAACAACCAGGGCTACCAACTTATGGACATACATGTTGAAGTACGTCTTGTCGGCTGGAACATTGTTCCTTTCTGTAGACATCAGGGGTCAAAGTGCCAGGCATCAACTCGTCGAGCGTCGAGCAATGGATCTGCAAGCTTGAACTCGATCCTCCTCATGTGTTCCAGCTCATCGTGGCTAAACTTGTAGATGTTTGACTCCCACAATTCCAACCCACGAGCAACTTGCGATGCGAAACGTCCCGAATAATCTACTTACAATCGGCTTGGGTTGGTTCCGTGACCATTCATCGGCCAAGGCTGGTAATTACTGCAATGCTGGGCAATATTCTGGGAACGCGTTGTAAATTATATCAAATGGTTTGCATGATTGCTCTGCCTGTAAGATTGACGTCGCAAGACTGTGCGCTTGGAAATCGCCTGAGAAATGCATGCTCGTCCAACCAGTGAACGCGCATCCTCGTCCCACCTACAGAAACAATGCGGTATCCAGAATTTTGCAAGGTCCGTCCAACTGGATATGCCGCGCAGGCTCTTTACACGGCCATTCGAACTCACCATGCGTGCTGGTTCTTGTGAGGATTATGCAAATCTCTTGACGTGTGCTTCTAGACAGATATGGCAGCGCCGAGGGACATGCCAAATTACGGTTCGCTACGCGCTTGGGCCAACTAATGCCTGTCTTCTCTGGCAAGCTCTGGGCAAACGCCACTGCAACCATCGATGTCGTGTAAAACCCCTTAAATTGACATGGGTTGCCCCAAACATTGAACACAAATGGCTGATTACGGAAAGGAGGAAGAAGAGGGGGAATAGGGGAAAGGGAGGAGGAAGAGGAGAAAGGAGAAAGAGGGAAAGGGAGGAGGAGAGAGGATAAGGGAGGAGGATGTAGGTTCAGGTTCAGGAAGGAGGACGCAGGACGATGATGAGGAGGATGCAGCAGAACGGAGGAGGAAGAAGGCTTCTGAGGCGGAGCCAGCCATTGCAGCGAGGGCGCTTCCTGGATGCCCCGCCAAAAACAGAAACCAACCAAATCCCTCGTCCCTCTTGTCCCCCTCCTCGTTCCCCTCTCCACGCCCGACAGCAGATTTTCTTGTTTGAACGACTTTGGCCCCTGGAGGTATGGGCCCCATCCCCAGGGCCAGCCTTCCGTCCTGCAAGCTGTTCTCTGATAGCCCCGCGGCGTCCCGAATCGGGCCGCCGCTCCAGGGGCAACACATTGCGAGAGATGCCGCCCGCCACGAGTTACGAGTCGTTCTGCCCGCGGCGCCCGAGGGTCCAGGCTCCCCTGCCTCCGCGGCGCCACAGGCTCAGCCCCTCCGAGCCGCGCCACTGCTCACCAGAGCCCGCTGCGCCCCAGCCGCGCGCCCAGCGCCGATGCCAAAAAACTGCCCGGACCTCCGAACGTTGACGGCAAGTCTGTGGCGTGACAGCCCCTGCATCGGTTTCTGACACCGCGGGATCGTTCAAGAACGACCGGCCGTTTCCGAAATTTCAAACCGTTCACCATCGACGGGTTCTTGGTGGCTGGCGGCGTCCAACTTTGAACGCTGGCGGCGGGGTCGCCGCCGGTCAACACGACACGAACCTACCATACCCTGACATCCTCCGATGTGGTACTTTCAATCCGCGGCCCCAGAGGTCCCGGCCCCTTCCCCTGGGGTAGTTTTGCACCCCGGATCTGTTTTTGATGCTCCCGGGGCCCGATGCTGGCCCCCGGAGGCCTACCTCGAAGAACTCCGCCTGGCTTGAAACAGTGATCTCGTCAGAGATCTGGGTATATCTGCGTCCCCTCCAGTGCCGCTCGTCGCCGCAACGCCCTCGATGATCATTCAAGTATATGTGTGATATATTCCTGACCGGAATCGTGAAATGCAGGTCGACGTAGACGAATGCAGACCACGACGATGTTGAGGCCTTTTCCTCCACTCTGCCTGCCGGATCCGTGCCTCGCGATGTTCGGGCGTTCGCTGCTAAGGTCTTCGTACGGCCAACTATCGCTGGGCAGCCCCCCCCGCGTCACAGGTTCAGCTTCTCGGCGCGCCGGGCGCGCCCGAGCATCCCCAGGGCGGCGCCGAACTCCGCAGCGGACGCCCGCGCGCCGATGCGGTCGGCGTTGCGCACGAGCATCCCCCGGGCCTGGAGCAG